TTTTTTTTTTGTCTTGTCAATATGAGTTGTTGTTTGTCATGGGAAGAAAAGAAGCTCGAAACTTTTGATACGTAATACATATTAGTAGCTGACGTTTATGAAGATCATTTCTATATGCATATATGATGTCGATCTACAGAAAGTTTTTTTGAGTTTTGTATAATTTTAATTGAAAGGTTTGATTTTTTTTTTATATATTGTAATTCTCTTGCTTTGATAAGTACATATTTGATTATATTTATTTTTACATTCTAAAAAAATAAGACAAATAAGATAAGCATTCAAACGAAATTCTAAAAAAGAGGTTATTGTAAAATAAACGTACTGCTTATTACACAATTGCTAGTTATTTTATAAATATGCAATCGCCGATTTAAAAATGAGTTAACGCAATAGTTGATTGGTTGTTGAAATAAAGTTCAAATTCTCGAAATGACTTCAAAGTTTCAATTAATAAAACTATCAACTGTACAACAAACCCCTTCTAGCAGTAGTAATAATGTTCGTTTTGGCAGAAGGATTTATTTACATGTTGAAACTATGCGAGAACATAAGTTATGTACTGGTGACCATGTTTTCGTCAGAAAAGAAGTTGAAAACGAGTTAGAGCAAAAGAATACATTCGTTGAGGTATAAAGAATAAATGGTTATTACTAAATAGTTTTCCTTTCATTATTAATTATCTTTCAATTAAACGATGAATCTAAAGATGGTCACTGTGGGTATCGCTTGGCCATCATTTGCTATTAAAAAAAACCGTATGTATATTTTTTAACCGCGAATCAAATCAAGTTTTTTTTTTTTTATTTTTTAATGCAACACTTAGATTACTTTGAATGTTTTAAGAGATCCAATTAAATACATTGCAACGTGAAAATGCCAATCTTGAGGTTGATGATATCGCGATTTTGTCGCGTATAAAAAGTTTCATCGTAAATGCATCTAGAATTGTACTGAAACCATTAGGAAATGTCGATTTTCCTATCGATCAAATGTTGAATATTTTTGCAAAAGAAATTTTAAGTACGTAATGAACTTATTTTTTTTATAATTCAATAATATTTTGATATTAAATAAAAACGATTTATTTAATTTTGTAGTAGACCTTAAATATTTAATGAAAGGCAATCGCGTAGAATTTCAATATCATGGAACAATAAGAAGTTTTCATGTGGAAGATGTAAATCCTGTGAAAGATGAGAATGCTATGGAAGATGGTTGCTTAGAAATTGGTTTATATCCCGTTTGCCGAGATACATCTGTTGTAATTTTACCACACGTATGTTCTTGTAAAATTGAGATTTAAAAAACGTTAGAATTATACAATTAATAATTTGAATTTCTTAATGAAAGAATGTTAGTAAAGATAGAAATGTAAACGATAAATTTCCTGATGTTGGCTATGATTCAATTGGTGGACTAACAGAACAAATTAAAATAATTCGTGAGATGGTAGAAACTCCTCTAAAGAATCCCGAGTTATTTACTCAATTTGGTAATTCCATAATGATTGAATTGTCACTAAAAAGTTCAAATCGTACTAACGCATCAAATATTTATTTAGGATTACGGCCACCCAAAGGAATCCTTTTATATGGGCCTCCGGGAACTGGAAAAACGTTAATTGCACGTGCAGTTGCAACAGAAACAAAATCCCATGTTATTTGTGTGAATGGTCCCGAAATAATTAGTAAATTTTATGGGGAAACTGAAGCAAAGTTAAGAAATATATTTGACCAAGCGACTGAAAATGCACCTTCAATTATTTTTATTGACGAAGTTGACGCGTTATGTCCTAAACGCGATGAGGTACAATTTATTATTCTAGATGTTTCTAGTGTATCAATATAAAATTATTAAAAAAAATTTAATTATATGAAGGCAAGTAATGAATCGGAAAAACGCATTGTAACAACATTACTCACTTTAATGGATGGGATCACTAACAAAAAAAATCATGAAACGCAACATGATCGTGTTGTAGTTATTGGAGCAACAAATCGTCCAAATGCTTTAGATCAAGCATTGCGAAGGCCAGGAAGATTTGACCGCGAAATTGAAATTAGTTTGTGTCAATTCATAAACATTCTCATTATTATTATTATTGTTTTTTTTAATTCACTCATTCATACTTTCAACAATTTTAAGCGATTCCAAATGCTATTTCGCGATGTTCTATTTTATCGACTTTATTGAAAAAAATCCCAAACACTCTTACAATCGAAGAAATAAATGCATTATCGTCTAAATCGCATGGTTATGTTGGTGCAGATCTGGCAGCTACTTGTCGAGAAGCCGGATTAAAGGCCATTAAAAGGTGTATAAAGGGAAATAAACGAGATGATGTAAAAGTTAACATGCAAGATATGGAAGCTGCTATGGCTGAAATTCGGCCAAGTGCTATGCGAGAAGTGAGTCTATGTTTTGCGACATACTTTAGTTTACCTCAAAGTTAAAGGAGATCGTTCTTGATTTCATTTAGATTCTCTTAGAAGTTCCTAAAGTATATTGGTCAGATATCGGTGGCCAACAAGAAATCAAACAGAAACTAAAGGAATCAATTGAATGGCCATTACAACATCCCGAGGCCTTTCTAAGGTTAGGCATAAGACCTCCAAAAGGTATATTATTGTATGGACCTCCAGTATGTAGTAAAACCCTTATGGCCAAAGCTTTGGCGACTGAAGCTGGTTTGAATTTTATCGCTGTGAAAGGTCCTGAGGTGAGATGCCTTAACAGAATCGGAATTCGAAATTCTGCCAATATTTAATCAAGTGATGTGAATTTATTATATTTTAGCTTTTCAGTAAATGGGTTGGTGAATCAGAGAAAGCAGTTCGTGAAGTATTTCGTAAAGCACGTGCAGCCTCTCCTTCGATCGTTTTCTTTGTAAGTGATCAATTTAATAAATTTTTTCACACGTATAAAAAAGCAATTAACCTAATTTATTTAAATTTGCCGTTCTTAAAGGACGAAATTGACGCTTTAACTGTTAAACGTGGTATTGGTATAGAAAGTGGTACTTCAGTTGCAGATCGAGTTCTATCTCAATTATTAAATGAATTAGATGGAATTGAACCGTTAGTAAATGTAACTGTTGTAGCTGCAACTAATCGTCCAGATATTATAGTAAGTAAATGTTATATTATACGCTTAAGTGTGTTTTATAAATGTTAATTATTATTAATTTAGGATAATGCGTTATTAAGACCTGGACGATTTGATCGGATCTTATATGTAAGTCCACCTGATTTACAATCCAGAAAAGAAATTTTTCGAATTCAATTAAAAAAAATGTCACATGCTAAAGTTGTCAACGTTGAAGAATTAGCAACAAAGGTAACGAGGCTATATAAAAAACATTTCTATTTTAATTCACGATATTTTTATTTAAATTTGTTTAAATTGATTGAAGACCGATAAATGTTCTGGTGCTGAAATTGTGGCTATATGTCAAGAAGCAGCTTTATATGCTATGGATGAAGATCTTGAGGCTAAGGAGGTATTTAATGAACAAATCGTAAGTATATACACACATATAATTGTTTTAACATTTATAATATTTTAGGTAAGGAATGATCATTTCTTTAAAGCGATTTCTTCGTTTACACGTCGTATTACACCTGAAATGATTAAATTTTATGATGATTATCGAGAAAAATTCGAAAAAAATTAAATAAAAAAAATTATTTTTTTAATGAACGAAAATTGCACAGCGAAGAAATTTATATTTTCATTATTATTCGCATTAAAAATTTCACTTTTCTTGATGTTGTTTCTAGTATAAGTCCTAATACTGTAAATAACTATCATAATCATCTTTACCGTATGATGTTTAGCAATTCCGCGGTTAAATAAAATTAGATCTTAAACTTTTAATATTATTCTCATGGTTTTGGTTCATTATTATGAATTATCCATCTTCTACTATCGATGATTTAAATTAAAAGATAAGCAGCAATTTTTTTTGTTTAATCTTTTTTTTAGGGTAGTACAAGCCCCTCGGATTCCTACCCAAAAATGATCACGATACGAAATTTTTGTTAATGTATTAATTATTTTTTTTTTTTACAATACAAAATTTTGATTCTAGAAATAATCACAAGATTCTTGCACTACTAATAAATCATCTATGATCCTTTCCACCGTTGTACCTATATGCTTGGTCATTTCTTTTTGACGATGCACAGCAAGGTTTTGGAATTGAAACAGGAGATCGCCGTCTAAAATCCCTTTGGCTGGATTAATAGCCAATTTCTGTTTCGAATTAAGGAGTCTAATTTTTATGAATGAATGAAATGGATGAATATGAAATATCATTAATTAAAATAAAAAGTGTGTATTAAGTTGATAAATATAAATTAACAAAGTACCTGAAAGCTTTAGGATTTAAACCCGCGATATGTTGTAATCCAGTCACCATCTTAGAATGTAATAGTTGTAATCGTTTATACATTCTCTCAGGTATCGGTGTAATAATGTTTATGCTACCATCAAGAGTTCCTAATAATGATGAAAATTAAATTATGAAATTCTTGAACTAAATTATTATTATTATTATTTTTTTTTTATTTTACTTACCACATAAACAAAGTAATTTATTTCCGCTAATCTCTTCTTCCAAAAATCCCGAACCTCCTTGTTCAATAGGATCAGTTCTTACTAATTCTTTCTTTGGCATGCTTAACATCACTTTCACTTGTGCACCAATATGAAAATCACCACGACGAATAAGTTTTTGTCCCGCAAAAGACTGAACATCTTACATTGACGAATCTAAAAGTTAATTCATTATTCGAAATATTAATATTATTTATTGAAACACTTACTATATGGTGCGTATTGAAATAAGTGGATATTTTTATCCATATCTGCTACAGCGATGTATAACATTGGCTCATCGATTAAATAATTTAAACAACTAACTTCCAATGAATGATAGTCTTTACCAACCAATATTAATTTTGCTGGTTCTTCCTGTATAATTATGATGATGATTATATAAACTTGTTGGAACGAAATAGATTTTTTTTTGAAAGAAATTACCTGGAATCCAAGAAACCAAACACTCTTGTATACATCTCCCAATAATATGTAGTCCTTAACAGAAACTACGCTATTGCCGTAAATTTGAATGTCTATGAACGCCACACTAATTAGTCTATCGTTATCTTCGAAAGCGCGTATAAATATCTATGATGTTAAATAAATACATATAAAATACGAGATTATATAAACGATATTAATAAAATGGCAAAATTTATTCTTTTACCTTTGGACCAACACAAGTTAATAAGTATCCTTTAACGTCGCAAATTGCAGTTACAGAACCTTTCACCTCTTCATGACACAGTAACTTATACTTATGATTTGTTTGCGGATTATCTGGTTCGGGAACAACTTCGATTATTTCAAATATGTATACCTGTAAATAATTAAAAGTATAAAATTAGGTCAAATCATTATTTTTTTTTTTTAAAAAAAAAAAATTGTTACGTACATTTCCTCGCATGCCCACATCCTCGCCTCGGAAAAAACCTGTACCAACAGCAATGAAAGACTTTCGTCCACTGGATGTAGATTTCGTTTGAAGATTTACGCATTTGATACAAAGAATTTGTTCATCTTCCAAAAAACCATAGCTATATATACAGGAATAAAAACGATAAGGTAACAAACTATCAAGAAAAACATATAAAAATAAGGAAAATTTGACGAACCTGTCTACTGTTTCCCATGTTACCGGAGATATCAATTCTAGCGAGAATTTTTGAGTTTCTGGCAACAATTGATCTCTTTCTTTTCGTCCAAAATAATCTGTCAGTCAATGAATGGCTCAACAAATTAAAAAAGATCACATAATGAATTTATAACTTACCTTGCTCTACATCATTAATAGGGTCCCCATTCTCATCTCTTAAAATAAATTCAACTGGAATGGAAGTTGCCAATGCATATACTTGCATTTCTGCATGATATTCGATGCCGTAACCCGTTCGGTTTAAAGGAATTTTCTTAATGGGCCATTCCATATCATATCGAAAGTCAGATGGTAATTCAGATAATCTTAACATATCCTAAAGAGATAAATATTATTTGAAGTGTGGCAGTTTCACTTTTTTTTTTTTTTTAAAAAAAAAAAAAACTCCCTAATTAATACTTTACCTCACGATTAGCATAAAGAAAACCTTGTTTACAATGTACATTATGAAACTGAGTAAAACATTTGATTTCACCATCGGCACTCATAGGATGTAATCTCAAGAAATTGTTATTTGCTATTAATAACCATGCAGGTTTAACACCAGTTACAAATACTCCATTATAACCACCAACATTAGAGAAGGGTATGATTTTCCGTGATGTTGGTCCGAGTCGAAAATTTTGTCTCTCTATTGCATCATCAAATTGGTCTATATCATTTTTATTAGGTTCTTGTTGAGTAGATCTTTTAGAGACGGGTTTATCATGAATATCACTATAGATAGTCTCGCGTGATATATATTCCTGAGAAACTCGCGAAAATCGTATCGCCAGACGTTCAGACAATTCGGCTTGTGATTGTGATTTTTGAAAAGGATCAAATACATCGCTACCGGGAATATATTGATATGCTTTATATATAATTATATCCCCCACAATAGTGCGCGCCTATGAAAAATTAATTAGGAAAACAAGTTTTATGATGGACTTTGTTATATCTGATACTTTTAAAATATGCAATAAAAAAAAAAAACATTAAACTTACGACTAAATAAGGTTCCTTTGATCTCTTTCCAAGATTTATCAATAAAATTTCTTTTATTTCAGATTTTTGTGAAGTAGAATTTAAATTCTGTCGAGAGGCAAAATCGACAAGAACTGCCGGCGACAAGTCAAAATGTGGGAAAAGAAAAACCTCTTCGAAGTTGGGAAGCTTAAAAATCTGGATAAATTAATTGTAAGAATGAAAATTATTAGATTTACAACATTACTATATAATTCTTGACGCGAAAAAACTTTAGATAGTTATATAATAATACCTCTAAAGAACCATCCTGTTTAAATAACGTACACCAATAAGTTACTTCTTTCACTTTTTCAACTTTACCGCTCACATTTTCTTCATTAACTTCACCCATAACTTGTGGCGTTTCATCCAATTTAACTTCCTCATCTATTTCCATAGAATTTTCTTTGCTTTCATTTAAATTCTGAGTTTCAAAGCCTTTACATAATTCATCGAATTCATCATCATCCAGGTTCATGGGTGAAAAATATGTAGTTGTTTTGTTTTTATGATCAGACTTTAAAAGAGATAGTTTTTGAGTTGCATCTTTAACAAGAGAAAAAAGCTCTGAGTCATCTCGATATATACAACAAGATACTGTCGGGATAACCTATCAAACATTAAATGAAACTAAGTAAATTTACTACAAATAAAAAAATTACATTTATGTAATTTGTAAAAAAAAAAAAACTGTTTCTCACATTAATGCGTTCGGGCTGTGAACACGCTCCAATGTTTTTTGTTCTTTCATCTACTTTCATCAATGCAATATCTCCATTATCAAATAGCAATAACACATATGGATCCACAATACTCGCAAATACAACCAGGCCTTTTTCAAATGTTTCATCGATTGGAATTAATTGTGTAAGTTTTCCTTCTGAATGCATTAGGAACATAGGGTTATGAGAAATAATTCGACGGTAATGTTATATTTATTATTATTAGTTTGAAGGATTAACTTACCATTATCTACAAAACGAAGCCCATGATCGTATACTTGTAAAATACGCGTCCCGTTTAACAAGCATCCAATATTTATTGTTGGACCATCCGTATAAAAATCTGTTTGTTGAAGTTCTTGCAATTCCTCACCGCATCCTAAAACCTATGAAACCAGGTTTAAGAAGCCACATCAGAATAAAACGCAAGAAGAAAATGCATCGAAAAGAATTATTTTAATAGATTACCATCGTTTTGTCTTTCTTTGAAATAAAAAGATATTTATCAAAGAAATCACTATTGATTCCATTATTAGAGTCAATTTTTGATCCCGAACTTTCCATAGAAATTCCTATAAACATTGAATCCCGACAAGAAACTGTCCATATATTTGTACAATCTTCCATTGGAAAAGAATTATTCACTATCGGGTTTACATTTCTCTGAAATTAACAATGACTTATTAATATTTAACGTAAGAAACAAATTGATTTCATAAAATGTAAATGATCACTTACATGAAATACACAAATTGATGATTCATCATTATATCCTGTACAAGTAACTATTTCGAGATTTTTCTGTATTATATGTAATTGAGATTCTTCCTATATTTTAGATAAAAATAAAACTCCTAAATATCTTTTAAAAATACAAAAAAATTTAATACAATATATTCTTACTTCCGGATAAGTTAATTCACCAAAAGCCATGTCTACAATAGGACCAACGTTGATAAGAGTATCACACACTATAAATTTATAATCTGACATCTCAAGAAAACTAGTTGCGGATTTTCTAACATCACCTATTGAGTTATTTATCGGTTGTCTATTGTTGTTTGTTGCACCGTTCGTATTTTGTTTCTCTTGATCCTTTTTCGAAGAATAATACTTAATTAAATGGGTATCACCTAATCTCGAACCTAAAATGAAATATCCTTTCGAAAATTTGCAAGCACATGACGGAAATGTACTATTGCCTGCTTCTTCAATCCGAATTCCCGTCACCGTTTCTTCATTTTCTACCAATTTGATCACATATAAGTTGCCATTGCTTAAAGAAAGTAATATGTCTTTGTTATCCAAAATAACGTGACAAGACCCTTCTAAGGCAAGTCCAAGATTTTCATATGTTTTATCTAATGGGAATCTTGTTGTTGATGATGCATAAGTATTAACGGCTATTCCAATTCCTAGTGAACTATCATCAATATAAATTATGGCATCAGAAGTGATTATTATAACGCCCATAGAGTCTGGGACCGAGATTAACTTTAAGCAAGTTTGTGGTAAAGTGTCCCGTGTAAATACGACAGGGTATTTTTGTTTAGAAATGTCTAATGTCACTGTAATAACTGAACACGTGTCTTTTATTGAATTCGACTTGCTATTTTATTTTTGAAATTAAATTAGTTCAAATCTTTTAATCAAAAACGAAAAAAAGTGAAAATAATATATTACCCTGGCCATGTTTGAAAAGATTCAAAAAGTATCGCCAAAGTGGGTTCATGGCATCCGTATAAAAATTCCATGTCAATAACATTCTTGATTTTAATTTGTGAGTCAATAGACGATACATCAAAAACGATACTTTGCAAATAGGGCAGATTACTAATCGAAAGTTAAATAGCATATGTAAATAATTGTTTTCATAACCTAAAAATCATACGTAAACATTTTTTTTTTCAAAAAAAAAAAGGGATAGAGGTTACCTGGCGATTTTAGTGATTTCATCTTCAGATAAATTTGTGGTATCTTCTTGACGGAATGGAAGAATTGCCAATTTATTACCATAAAAGTTCAAAACTGCACATCTATTGGAAGGATCAACCTTTAACTCGGTAGTGCAAGTGTTTGCTAGAAATTCAGTCTAAAGAAGATTAAACCTATTTAGTATATTAAAATCTTTACATCAAAATAATTGCCAAGTCATCAACATGCATCGTTACTTGAGTAAATACCTTAAACTCCTCACGTTCATAATAATGAATTGAAACCGTAACGATGCTATTTGTTGCCAATGACCATTCCAGAAGGGACACCTATATTTGTTAAAAGAACCAACATATTTTTTTGACTATTTCAAGACTTTTTTTATTTATTTAATTTTTTCATCAACAGACCTTCGCATCCTTGAAACTTAATAAAAGACTATCCATGCCATTAATGCCCGAGGAAATCGTTCGCACAACTCCCATAGAGGCTATGTTACCAAAAAGTTTATATTGTGCGACTAGTTCAAGATGTGCTGTCTTTGATGATGATGGGTTTGCAGCCGGTTTGAGTGTTGGAAAAAGGAAATTCTGCATTAAAATTTGTGATTATAATTGATTATAACGGTGTTGAAAAGATAAAATCAGGGAGAATATATAAAAGATCACATAAAATTTGGACATGATTTTTAGGTATAAAAATAAAAATTTTTTTTTTTATTTAAAATTTATTAATATATATTATATATTTTTATTTTGAATTCTATATACACTTGATTAGCTCATTCAACTATGTTATCATCCTCCTTAATTCATTCAAAAATAAATTACTAATTCTAAATACCTAAAATTCTATTATATACTTATTAAAACTTATAACAATTGAATTAAAAAAATTAACATACC